CTCACAGATGAGCAGCCGTGGGACTTTGAACATGGCGCCCGGCCGGCCGGCGTGCGACTGAGAGAATGGGCCAACTGCCGGCTGGACTCCGTGGCCCCCGTCACCTCCCTCCGCCCGTCTCCGTTCCGCCGCCGGGTGGCTGGCGTATGGCGGCCCGGCTCGGGGACCCCTTTGGACCCATCCGTGCACTCGCACGAGGCCCGGACTCACAGATGAGCAGCCGTGGGACTTTGAACATGGCGCCCGGCCGGCCGGCGTGCGACTGAGAGAATGGGCCAACTGCCGGCTGGACTCCGTGGCCCCCGTCACCTCCCTCCGCCCGTCTCCGTTCCGCCGCCGGGTGGCTGGCGTATGGCGGCCCGGCTCGGGGACCCCTTTGGACCCATCCGTGCACTCGCACGAGGCCCGGAGCCACCCAATTGCCCGTAGGAGACATGGTGTCACCGACCCTCTGACAGAGGAGGGGCCGTGTGCATGTGCGCGTATGAGTTGCCCCCCTCCAATCCCAGCCAAGCCGCCGCCTCCTTTCCTGAGAACATCAGCGGCGAGCCGCCGCCGCATCGCTATGGCGACTCCGCTGTCTCCAATGGGCAAAATGAAGAGATTGACTTGGGGGCGCGTGTGTGCACGCGCACACACAAAGACGGGGCCAACAGGTGGCGAGCCTCGCTCAGCGCGGCGCAGCGGGCCCACGTGGCCCAAAGGTTAAACATACAAGCCGCTGGCCGGTGTCCAAGGCAAGGCCCGGGGGCCAGATCTGGCCCGCCGCCTCATATTATGTGGCCCGCCAAAGACAATCGTGCGCTTCAACTTACTCGAAGCCGTACCGAAATGTCAAAATTGTCGTGTGGAAGAAACCACCTTGAGAATCACTTTGTGACCCTCTTGGCCCAATAATCAACAAACTCTTCATGTTGACTTGACGGATGGCCCAGCTCGCCATCCGTCCCTTTGTCGTGTCATCGTACGACGGATGAGACGACGAAAGATTTTTGTGGTGTCCTGACGGCCCCGCGAGGGAAGACCGAGTTTGACCCGCCCCCGTGTTGGAGCGTCCAAGTCCATCGTCTGACACCTAAACCCGACAGAGCGCGCCTCTTACCCTGTGAAGCAAACGGCTCGTGTGTATGTAAGAATTAGCAGGACGCCACCGGTGACCCCGATGGCGCGGCCTCACGTCGCTCCGAAGAGCACAAGTGCCAAACGGAGCGGACGGCCAAATGAATGGAGCAAGGAGGGCCTCCGCCGCGCCGTCCGTGCTCTCCCCCTCTCTGCCGGCCGGCGTCGTCTCCCGGCGTAGCGTCCCGGCATGAGTGTGGGTGCAGGTGCGGGTGCGCGTGCGTCAGCTTTGTGCCGCGGGCCTGTTTTCGGGCAACACGCTTCCTTCCATGCCGGGCACGGGACGTTTTTCAGTCGTCTGTCCATCCTTTGCCCGGAATGAAAAGAAGCGGTGCGCACTCTGCGGAAAGTCGGTGCTTGCCACGCGAGGAGAATTTTCGCAAACGCCATCATGTAATTCAATCAGAAAAGAGGAGGACTAAGCCACGACTAATGTCTTGAAATAAACATTGACGCTGCCCCCAGCGCCTTTGCCAAGCACTTGGGGAAAAACAGAAACATTTCTCATGGCCTTTAGAAAAATAAAGATTCCAAATTCCATCATGTCAAACTCTGATTGGTGGAAATGTATGAATCAGGTCTGGAGCCCCCCCATACATGAAACCAAGTTGATCCTTTTACATTTGATTGAGCTTTTTTTTTTTTTTTTTTTTCCTGCTGCGGCCAGCCTACCGAAATTGGATTGATTTTTGCGGCTCTTGTCAGCGCGTGCCACGCACTTGGCAACGGGCCTGTGGAGCCGTCACGTCGGCCGCCCGCGTCGGCATGTTCTTGAGATCGGCCCTCTTATGAGCTGGGAAGCGCATATTTGCGGCTCCTCCTTTCATGTCATCGCTGTCGGGCTTGAAGAAAGCGCACGTCCGCAATAGACCGCGACGGCGGCGTGGCTTGACGTCATCTTGACCTTTATTGTGTGGGGGGAGACCGACTGACGCTCGTTTGTCCGTTGCGATCTTTGCGCGCCGAATGTTTGCGGCCGCGCCAATGGTGGCTTCCCGCCTCTTGTAAAACGGTCACAGGCGGGGTGGACATTTTATGGGGGGCTCTCGTGGATTGATTGGCATTCATATGTCGGTTAAAATACACACGGACTTTTTTTGTCCCCCAATCACAACGGGCCGACCTCCTTACATATTGAAAATTTTGAAGTCAGTTAAAGCTTTTGTTCCTCCAAAGGATAGCACGTACGTGAATGACGGCCGGCGGGGCCACCTCAAATGGTCTTCCCCCATCCAAATAAATGTGAATCTCTTTGTTGGATCGGGAACGTTGCACTCTAGAATTATGTTCTGGATTAAGCTTAGAGTAAGAACAGAATTCATTAGAGTGTATGGAATTCGGAGTTTGTGGCCCAAGCTGAATTAATCAACGTGCGCGGCATGGCCACCGGGAGGGGGGTGGGGCATACGAATAAACGCGGAGCGGTCAGTAAGCGGCGGTCCTATTTTTGCGCCCCTTTGTCTTGTCTATTGTCTGTCCGCACTTGTTGCTCCACCGTTTGTGTTCAGACCTCTATGGCCGAAGGTGCCACGTGCGCCGTTGGTTCGTCCGTCGCCGGTGCCGTGAAACGAAGCGGACGACGCTGTTGATTTAATACGCAAGATGTAATTGCCTTTGTCGGGTGTTAAGTTGGACTTTTCTTGCGGCGCTCATTTTGAGAATCGCTCGCTACCTGTGAGGGGAGTCCGTTTCACTGTCACCGTCCCGCCTATTTGCAGTTTTTGCTCGTAAGTCAAACAACAACCAAAAATTGGAAAAAGTAGTCACGGGGTTCAATTGTAAGTCACGGTTGCACCGCATCCTGGCCCGCTCATGTGCCATCGCAAAGCATCGCACGTGTCGTAGCTGCTTTAGCGGCGACACGTACCGTCGAGCATCTCTTTCACTTGGACGACGGGTCGGCGGCCCGCTTCCTGGGAACTCTCTTATGCGGGCTGGCGCGTCTCTTTGAACATTCGACCCCACATGCGCGCACGCATGCATGCGTCCTCCCTGGTGTCGTCAGAGAGCGATGGGGCACCGTCCTGCCGACTGACAGAAGGTTGGGGGGGGGAAGAAAAAAAAAAAAAAAGGTCATCTGTTCCATCTCAGGCAAATAACAATAAGCCCGGGGCCGGATTCCGAGCGGCTTTCTCTTTGAAATGGGAGACCGGCACACGCGTTACAAATAGATCTCGTTTTATCTTCCGGGCCAGGCCCATGGAAAAATGATTGCAAATACCTGCCACGCTTGATCTGGAACGCTGCGATAGGTTAGGCCCGGTCGGGAACACGAGGGGGTCTAAAATAAGGCGTCTATTACGGGAGGGAGTGGAGATGGATGGGACAGAGCGGGAAGGGAAGGCGACGGGGAGGGGGGGGGTATTTTCGGTGGATGGACCGACCCCCGCGAAAAAGGGCCTGCGGCGAGGGCTCGGGGCCCGGCGTCAGCTGTCGCGCG